CAGGGAAAACCAGGCCTGGGTGAGTTCAAGGCACAGTGAGGCCCTAAGCAACTTAGCAAGACCCTGTCTCAAAAAAAAAAAGGTGGGGGGAGGGGGGCTGGGAATGTAGCTCAGTGATAAAGCAACCCTGGGTTCAATCCCCAGAACAAAAAAATGTTAATACTGGCCTTGAATTTGGAGTCCTCCTCCCTCAGCATCTCTGGAAGCTGGGATTACAAACCTGAACAACCATGCCTGGCTCAGATGTTATTTTCTGGCATTCTTAGCTTTAGGGTTGGTGGAAGCTAGTGGTCCTTCCTCTCCAGTAACTATGGAGATTGAGGCAGGAGGATCACAAATTCCAGGGCATCCTCAACAATTTCATGAGACCCCATCCCAAAATAAAAAAGGGCTGGGGATGTACCTCAATATTAAAGCACAATGGATTATATTTCCAGTACCAAACAGATGGACCAACACACACAGATTATGAAAGGTTTACCTAATAGTTGAGAGAATGTTAAGTCAGATACAAAGGTTAAAAGTAAGACAGCGGGCTGGGGTTGTAGCTCTGTGGCAAAGCATTTGCCTAGCATGTGTGAGGCACTGGGTTTGATCCTCACTACCATATAAAAATAAATAAATAAAATAAAGGCATGGTGTCCATCTGCAACTAAAAAAAAAAAAAAAGTTTAAAAAATAAGGGTTGGGGTTGTGGCTCAGTGGTAGAGCACTTGCCTCTCATACGTGGGGCACTGGGTTTGTTCCTCAGCACCACATAAATAAAGTAAAGGTATTGTGTCCACCTACAAAAATAATAATAATAAAAAAATAAAATGGCTATTTTTCTAAAGGGCCTGAGATAGTACAAGATAATTTTGACATACAATATGTTCTCTCTCCATAATCGCTATGTTCTAGGCAGCCAAAGCCAAACAGTCCACAGGATTTGTGACATAGATACATGATGGAAAGTTCCAGTCCAGAGACCCAGTTACAAAGTAAAAAAAAGAAAAGTGTAAACCAGGCATGGTAGCACATGCCTATAATTCCAACAGCTCTGGAGGCAGAGGCAGGAAGATCATGAGTTCAAAGCCAGACTTGGCAACTTAGTGAGGCCCTGAACAACTTAATGAGATCCTGTCTCAAAATAAAATACACGGCTGGGGCTGTAGCTCAATGGCAGAGTGCTTGCCTAGCATGCGTGAGGCACTGGGTTTGATCCTCAGCACCACATAAAAATACACAAATAAAATAAAGGCATTATGTCTATCTACAACTAAAAAAAAAAAATGCTCCCAGTTTAAGATTAAACTTTAAAAATATATATATTTAAAAAAAGGGCTGGGAATCAGGCTCAGTGGTTAAAAACCTTTGGATTCAATCCCCAGTACCGGAAAAAAAAAAAAAAAAAAAAAGTGTAAACAGAATGGAAATGTCCATAAGTCATGAGTCTAGTAACTCCCCGGCTGCCCCCAGTACTGGAATTGAACCCAGGGGCACTCTCCCACTAACCTACATCCCCAGCCCTTAGTTACCCATGCATGACCTCAAACTTGCAATCCTTCTGTCTTAGCTTCAAGAGTAGCTGACATCACAGGCATGTGCCATAATGACATGCCATAATGCCTGGTTGGTAACACTCTTTGTGATTTTTTTGGGGGGGTGCAGAGGCAGAATTTAATCCAGGTCCTCACACACTCTAGGCAGGTACCCTACTATTGAGCTACATCCCCAGCCCTTTGTTTTTGGTACTGGGGATTGAACTCAGGGGTACTGGACCACTGAGCCACATCTCCAGCCCTATTTTGAATTTTATTTAGAGATAGGGTCTCACTGAGTTGCTTAGTGCCTTCCAGTTGCTGAGGATGGCTTTGAACTCGTGATTCTCTTATCTCAGCCTCCCAAACCGCTGGGATTACAGGCGTGTGCCACCATACCCGGCCCTTTTTATGTTTTTTTTTTTTTTAATGTCAATGGACCATTATTTTATTTATTAACTTATTTATACGTGGTGCTTAGAATCGAACCTAGTGCTTCATACATGCTAGGCAAGCGCTCTACCACTGAGCCACAATCCCAGTCCCCTTTTTGTTTTAAAACAGCATCTCATTAAGTTGGTGAGGCTGGCCTCAAACTTGTGATCCTCCTGCCTACCCAGTCACTGGGATTACACCATGTGCAATGGTGCACCACTCTAGCTGATAATCTCTTAATTTGCGTTTTGAGCTCTGGGTACTATATAGCTGTATAGCCACCTCATTTGGTTGTTCCAGATGCTTACAAAGGGTAGAAGTGATCCAAGATCATGTTCCAGGCAGCGGTTGGAATTGACCAGTATCCTAATGGCCTCCAGACTCTATTTCCAAAGCTCTTTCAATGTTTTCATTGTAATTTTCCTTTTATTTTCCCAATGGTAAATTATATGATATGTATGCTTAACCATAATACAAAAACAACTAGAAAATTCACAAAGTACATTATCACTTGATTATAATAAAAAATAATATTACTTTGAATTTTCTAGTTTCCAGCTGCTCAGGAGATCTGATCCATGACACAAAGCACTCACCCTTCAGTAATTACTCACTGGTCCAACCAAGGTTCCCAGGCAAACAAAGACACTCCCATTAAACATGACATGCAAAGGGACTAGAAATGACCTCCTAGAAGCAAAGGGCAGGCCTCTGTTTTGGCAGGGTAACATTCTTTTGATACACAACAGTTAGAGTGAGTGGTCAGTGGCTATGGAAAATATTATGATCATGCTTTATTACGGTAGGACCTTGGGATATAGCACAAGGCCTGGTTTCACTGGCTGTGTTGAACCTTCTGGAAGTTCTGAGTATGAGAATAATGAGGAACCCAGAGATGACCCATGTATAGGCAGCCAGCCATTATATTTCCTATCATCTCAATCCCTGGACCCAGTTTACTTCAAGAGAATTTATAGATGTTTTATCTGCTTGGGTCATGGTGCAGGCTCCAACTACTCCCAAGGCGTGGTCACTGGAGGGCCTACCTTCTAAGAGCCACCTTTCTCTCCCTCCGTAAGATCCATAAGCCTAGAAGTTCTGAGAATGCTCCTTCAAATGGGCAGAGACTGTATTCAGCTACTAGAGCTGAGGAGTCAGATTTTCTTACAATAAAGGGACAGCACTGAAAAAAATATGGCCTTGGGGCTGGGGATGTGGCTCAAGCGGTAGCGCACTCACCTGGCATGCGTGCAGCCAGGGTTCGATCCTCAGCACCACATACAAAGATGTTGTGTCCGCCGAAAACTAAAAAATAAATATTAAAATTCTCTCTCTCAGGCTGGGGATGTGGCTCAAGCGGTAGCGCGCTCGCCTGGCATGCGTGCAGCCCGGATTCGATCCTCAGCACCACATACAAACAAAGATGTTGTGTCCGCCAAGAACTAAAAAAAAAAATTCTCTCTCTCTCTCTCTTTAAAAAATATAAAAATAAAATAAAATAAAATTCTCTCTCTCTCTTAAAAAAAAAACAAAAAACAAAAAAACTATGGCCTTTGGAGTCACATGAGCCTGGACATGACCTCCAGCCTGGGACAAATTCTTGTCCCAGTTTTTTCACAAATTGAGAATATGGTAACATATAGCTTGCAGAGTTCTGGGGAAGAGTAACTTGAACACCACCTTTTCCCTGAAGCCTTCCCAGTTTAATGCTTATATCTGCCTCAGCCCTTTAAAACAGCAATTTGGTGAGATCAATCACATTGCCTAATGCTGCTGGTTTTCTGTGCTGACTTGGAAACTCAAGTTTTGAGCCTCTTTAAACCGACTCACTCCTAAGGACCAGTTGTTCTGACACTGATAGTCTCTTTTTCTGTTTGTTTGCAATGCAGCCCAGGGCCTCTTGCATGCTCAGCAAGCACTCTGCCACTGAACTACATCCCCAATCCCATTGATAGTCTCTTATAAAAGATTATGATTCCAGTCTGACACTTATGGCCATACAATCTTAACATTTTGACTGATCTCTGCTGCAATTCCTTCATCTGAAAAGTGGAGAATAATTGAATCTCCCCATATCATAGGATTGTTGGGAGAAGTAAATGGGTTAATACACTTACCACTATGTATCATATAGAAGCATTTGTGATTATCATCTCATGTCACCACCTTGTTTCTTCAGTAAATGCTGCCTCACACCTGGAGAACTGAAGGCACATGTAAAAGCCCACCTACTAGCCTCAGCATTCTATTTATTTTCCTTTTTGAAGTCCAGGGTAAAATTTGGTATGCTCTCTACTCTCCTTTTTAATTTTCTACCACTCCATCTTTTTTGAGGGGAGGGGACTGAGCACATGGGATGGCTAAGCACAGCTCTATCCCTCCTAAGAACATATTTCCAGGAACCTATTGGGCCACTTCTAACCGCTAGATGGCCACATTACAGGGTGATTATTTCCTTAGGCAAGCAAACGCTTCAGCCCTCTAAAACAAGATTTCCTGGGGCTGGGATATCAACAGGAAGTCCTGCAGAGAAGAGCTCTGCCAAAACATTCATTCCAAGGAACTGATTGGTAAAGCAGCAAATTTGTCCAATCCTGTACAACATCCTGCAGCTCCACATGTGGCCCATTGCAGACCTCACCCACAGATGGATCTACCCCTCTGGATTCTTGGGACAGGAAGATCTATAGATAAGGTCATCCCAATGTAAGAAAACCATAAGAAAAGTTGCATTTACAAAGTGGTTGGGCCATTTATTGGTACTACGGAAAGTGTTTCTTTACAGGAGGAAAGGAACTCTTTAATACTAAAGTCTTTTCTTTTTTTCTTTTGCCTGTCTGGGGATTGAACCCAGGGTTTAGCAAATTCTAGGCAAGCATTTTCTTTTTTAATTTGTCCTAGCCCCCAGGCTGACCTCCAACTTATGATCCTCCTGCCTCAACCTCCAGAGTAGCTGGGATTACAAGTGAAAAGTCTCACCCATTTTATGCGAACTTGAGCCCAAACTCTCCATATGTACACAGGTTAATGACGATCAGGAACAAATACTTGAGTTAAATAAATTGAACCAAATATTCCTAGTACAAAATGATAAAGGAAAGGGAGGAGAGGGCAACGTTACAGCTTTTACACAATGCTTCAGGCAAAAACAGCTAACAATCCCCACTGTCTCCCAAGGTAGTCATTTAATAGTCAGTGATCCAAGTTCTAAGAAAATGTCCTGGAAAACAGGAACAAACCTCCCCACTCCCGCTTCTGTGACCTGCAATTAAGAAGCCAAGTTTTTAAGAACCCAAGACCGATGCTCTTGGCAAAGGCATTCAGAATCTCCAGTACGAGGCTTCAACTTTCTCATCTGTAAAAGGCAGACGCGGCGAGATCTGCTAGGCATCCAAATCAAAGTCATCGCGCTCCTCATTGTATTCCAGCACGTGCCTCTTGATCTTGGAGGAGTCGACCCAGGTGACAAAATCCTCCATGCTGCGAGTGACAAGGAAGGCGGGATCGGTAACCACGTCCGGGCCGACACGCACGTGGCCCTGCTCCACGAAAGTTACGGCAGCCTGGAGATGCTGTGCCATGCGCAGTTTGAGGAGCACTGTGGGAAGGCGGCGGCGACAGAAGGACGAGGCTGTGACGAAATCGCAGAGCTCGAGCGATCCGCGCGTCGGCACCAGACCGAGAGCATACAGCTTGTCCAGAAGCGCGGCAGAGGCGCGCACGCGAAACGGGTCACGCTCGGGGAGGTCGCGCAGTCGCCGCGCCAGCTCGCGCACCGCGCGGCTCAGCTGGTTGTACCGGGTGTAGTCTTCACGCCGCTGCAGACGGTAACGCCGCAGCACGCGCAACTCGTGCAGGTTGTGGTCAGTGACTTCCCAGTTCAGGAAGTCCACCTGCTTCAGTAGCTTCTGCTCGTGGAACTTAAGCTTCCGCACCATGATGGCGGCAGCCGAAACAGCGAGAAGCTAAATTGAAAGCGCGTTCAGACGCCCGAGCGACTACCGCAGCGACGCCAGAGTACCGAGTTCCTTGAAGGCCCTGGGCCAATGAAAGAAAGGCTAGAAGCCACGCCCCCCAACCCCGTTGGTCAGAGTTGGGCCACACCTTTGCATCCGCATCTCGCGTTTCTTGTGTCGTTCTCGTTGGCGGGCGTGGGGGAGGCGTGAGAAGTGCCCGCGGTGGGTAGTGAAGGAGAATCTGGAGGCGACTTTGCGGTTCTTAGTAACGGAGAATGCATCCTCTAGTGCAGTAACAATTTCTTCTCAGATTTCTACCCTTTGGGGACTCTCAGCAGAGGGTTTCCCCGAAAACCTGGGGAGGCCAATTCCGCGGGAGAGGAGTGATGACCGGCTCTTGAAGTTGGGTTCACTGCGCTCGCGACGACCCAGCGGCGGAGGCTGACAGAGCAGTCAGCCTTCCGCCTGCGACTGCTGGGTCTTTCACCAGGCGAGCAGAGCGGTTTCTCCTTGCCAAATAGGGCTGGACTGCACTAAACCTATGGCATGCGGATTCCCTGGCCACTTCCTACACTCATAAGATCGGAATCTATTGCGGAACTGTCTGCAAATCCTGTATTTTTAATTTTTTCTCCTCCCTCCTCAGCCCCGTGGTATTGGGTATTGAACCTGGGGTGCTCTGCCACGGAGATATATCCTCAACCCTTATTTTATTTTGAGATAGGGTCTCACTAAATTGCCCAGGACTCGAGCTCGCCATCATCACTCAACCTAGCTAGTCGCCGGGATTACAGGCGTGTGCCACTGCGCCTGACTGGAAATCTGTATTTTTAACAAGTGCCAGCTGGTTTCACGAAATACAGCGAATTTGAGAAACTTGGACTGTTAGTACAAGTCCTAACCCTTTAGTCTAGCCTCAAACGAATTAGCTTGGGTGGATTTCTGGCCACCGAGTATTGAACGCTGTTTGAGCTAGTTAGATATGTAAATTACATTTGAGCGCAGCGGGACTAACTCCCTTTTAACCTAGGCCTCTGACGCCATCTAGCTTCTACTCTGATCATTTTTGTTTTTCATTGTCTTTTTTTTTTTTAATGCAGTATTTACTAGCTGGAAAATACATATGTAACATGTAAGTTATCGTGTATAATGCATACTCGTGTACTCAACAGCATATTTAAGTAAACATCACCACAACAATTGAACCATTTCATTTACCTAATCCAGCCTCTTTCTCCTTCCAAAGGTAACGGGATCTCCTGTCCTGATTTTTTTTTTTTTTTTTTTTTTTGGCGGTATTTTTTAGGGGCGCTCTACCACTGAGCTACATTCCCCAGCCCATCTAATTTTTTTTTTTTTTAATTTGAAACAGTGTTTTACTCAAATGACCAGGACGTTCTCGAGTTTGTGATTCTTCTGCCTCAGCCTCCGGAGTTGCTGGGGTTACAGATGTGCACCACTCTGCCCAGCTCCTCTCCTGAATTTTGTGTTTATTATTTTGTTTAAAAATTTTTTCATCATTATACATACAAATATATGTATACACACACACATATGTATTTAATATTAGGTGCTAGGGATGGAACCCAGAACCTTACCCATGCTAGGCAAGCACTCTACCTCTGAGCCGCACACCTGAAGACCGAGTTTATTCAAAGTATAACCTATGGATTAACAGAGAGCTTGTTGGAAATGCAGATTCTCAGGCCCTATTCCTGAGACTCAATCTCATTCTAACAAGATCTTAATTTGTGTGCACCCTGATATTTCAGAAGTGTTTCATAGAAGACAAGACATTGATTGGAGTTTGTTATGTGTAGCTGTAATTGCTTTTTTCCCTATCGTGTAATAGTCTTTGTTTGACTCATTTATTAATCCATTTTCCTGTTGGCTTTGTTATTGTTGGATTTCTTTGGAGGGACTGTTTTCAGCAAAATTGCCATTAACATTTTTATACATGTCATATGTTGCACATATGCAGCAGTTTCCAGTATACATTGTAGGAGAGTTGCTAGTCAACCTTAGTAGATATTGCCAAATTGTTTCCAAAAAGATTGTATGAATTTATATTCCTTTGGGAATATATAAGAATTCCCTGGGGCTGGGGTGATAGCTCAGCAGTAGAGCGCTTGCTTAGCACATGTGAGGCCCTGAATTCGATCCTCAGCACCACATACAAATGAATAAATAGAATAAAGGTATTAAAAAAAAAAGAATCCCCTTTGCTTCGTATTCTCATCAATGCTTGGTTATTTTTGTTGTTATTGTTAGGTTGTTTGTTGTTTTGCAGTATAGGAGTTTAAACCCAGGGGTCCTCTTTTTTTTTTTTTTTTGGTACCAAGGATTTAACCCAGAAGCACTTAATCACTCAGCCACATCCCCAGCCAGTTTTTGTTTGTATGTTTGTTTTGTTTTGAGGCAGGCCTAACTCCTGCTGTTCTCCTTCCCAAGCCTCCTGAGCTGCTTTGCCACCACACTCAGCTAAACCCAGGATTCTGTACCACTGAGCCACATCTATAGCCCTTTTTAATTTATTATTTTGAGACAGGGCTTTACTAATTGCCAAGACTGGCCTCAAACTTGCAATTCTCCTGCCTCAGTCTCCTGAATCGCTTTGATTACAGGCATGTACCACTGTGCCAGGCTTGGTTATTAGTTTTTAAAATGTTTGCCATTGTGGTGTGTAGGTGTGTATCTGTTTTCTTCCTTCCTTCTTTTTTTTTTTGGCACTTTACCACTGAGCGACATTCCCAGCTGTTTTGTTTGTTTGTTGTTTTAATATTTTATTTTTTAGTTGTAGTTGGATACAATACCTTTACTTCACTTATTTATTTTTTATGTGGTGCTGAAGTGGGTTATAGGCATGTACCACCGTGGGCCCAATGTGTAATGGTATTTCATTGTGACTTTAATTTGCATTGTCTCAATGAATAAAAGCTTTATGTGTTTCTTACTCTGGGAAATGCCTCTTTGTGTCCTTTGTTTATTTTTCAATGAGATTGTATGGTAAGTAGAATAATGACCTCCTAAAGACGTCCACCAGGAACCTGTGAATGTGTTACCTTATACTACATAAAGGACTTTGCAGGTATGTTTAAGACTGTTTATTGAGATAATGGATATTGTAATTATCTTGACTTAATTCCACATTGTATTTATAAATCATAACATCACTCTGTATGCCATAAATATATACAATACTTTAGCAATTTGAAGTTGAAAAAAATTTTTAAATATATTTTTTAGTTGTTGATGGACCTTGATTTTATTTATTTATATATGGTACTGAGAATCGAACCCAGTGCTTCACACATGCTAGGCAAGCACTCTATCACTGAACCACAACCCCAGCCCTGCAGTTGAAAATTTTAAATGCAAAAAAAAGTGGGGGGCAATATTGGCATGGGGAGATTATCCTGGTGGGTCCCATGTAATTACAAGAGCCACAGGAGTCCTTATGAGTGAAGGAGGGAGTCAGAAGAGTCAGAGGAGATGATGGAAGCAGAAGCCTGATGAGATTGCTGACTATGATAATGAAAGTGTTCCAAGAGCCAAGAGATGTAGACAACCTCTAGGAAACTGGAAAAAGCAAGGAAAGAGATTATTCCCCAGAGAAGGAATATAGCTCTGCCAATATCTTGATTTTTTTAGCCCAGTGAGATCCACTTTGGATTACTAGTTTCTAGTACTGTAAGATGATAAATTTGTATTATTTTAAGACATTACATTTGTGATTATTCATTATAGCTGCAATAAGAAATGACTATAGATTTTTTATTTTTTGGTAGTACTGGAGATTGAACCTAGGGCCTCTAACACGAGAGGCTACTGTTCTATTCTACCATGGAGCTTCATCCCTGACCATTTATTTATTTATTTAGGTACTGAGGATTGAACCTAGGAGTGCCTAACCATTGACCTATACTCCCAGTTCTTTTTTATTTTTTGAGACAGGGTCTTGCTAAGTTGCTTAGGGCCTTGCTAAGTTGCTGAAACTGGGGTTGAATTGGAATCCACCTGCTTCAGCCTCCCAAGTCACCGGGATTCCAGGCAGGCAGTACTCTGCTCTGCAGGTTTTAATTTTAAATAGGGTATGCCAGGGTAGGTCTTGCTGAGAAAGTTCTATTTTATAGTTAATCCTTGTGCACATTCAGGGGAAGGAAGAGCATTTCAGGAAGAGGAAATAGTGCAAATACATTAGGATAAGAATGTATCTGACATGCCAGAAGAGAAATTACAAAGCTGTCTTGGCTGGAACAGAGTGAGAAAGGAGGATATTAAAGGGTATCAGATAACATAGAGGCTTCCAAGCCTTTGTAAGGACTTTGTAGGGTTTTGAGCAGAGAATTGACACCTAACATATTTAAAAAGAATCACTCTGAAAGCTGTAGTGAGAATAGATTCTAGGAAAGCAGAAATGGAAATGCAGAGTCCATCAGGTGGCTACTACAGTGATCCAGTGATCCAGGCAGCTGGGACCAGGAGAGCAGTAGAAAGATGCTGATAAAAGAGGAATCCTAGAAGGCAGGTGCAGTGGTGTTTGCCTATAATCTCAGCAACTCAGGAGGCTGAGGCAGGAGGATTGCAAGTCCGAGGCCAGCCTATGTAACTGTAGATCTGTCTCCAAATAAAAATAAATAAATAAATAAAAAGGGGCTAGGGCTTTAGTTTAGTGGTAGAAAGCACCTGAGTTCAGTATTCAGTACCACCACCAAAAAAAAAAAAAAAAAGGACTGGATGGTGGCGGGGAGAGGGGGACATCATTAGCAAATATGTTAAATATATGGTGTTCCATGCTATGAGCCTAAATAAGATAATCAAAGGAATGAATATAAATATATGCATGGACAGAGACAAGGTTGGGCGTTCAGGGTGGTATGGTCACAGACTGAATAGAAAATACAAGAGGATCACTTTATTGTGGTCACTCTAGTATTGATAATTATTAGAGAACCCGACATGGTGGCGCATGCTGCCTGTGATCACAGGGGCTAGGGAGGCTGAGGCAGGAGGGTTTCCAGTTCAAGGCCAGCCTCAGCAATTTATCGAGGCCCTAAACAACTCAGCAA